GTTATGCAGAAAACAAGAGTTGTTCTTGATGTATAGGCTGGTGGGGAGAGTCAGGGTGTAGTTCATTTTATGAGGTGGGGTCAGAATAAACATGGGTTATGTATAAGAATGAGGGTGTTTCTTAATGAATAGCATACAAATAAATAAATGGAACAATCTGTTGAGACTAAGTTTTTCTCTGGGGGCCATCTGGTTCATATCAATTAGCACACACATTTTATTTGATCTTTAAATAGGCATTTTCTCAAAGATCTCCTAATATAACCTTAATGTGAAACTGTTCCTTATATACATAAAATAGGTACCCTACAGGACTTCCAAAGTGCAAAAATATAGTGTGTCTTAATTGCAAATAAAGCACCGATTAATTTTATTACACTATATGCATGTGTATATATACGTACATATGCAAATACATATATATGTACATATATGTATATATATTTTCACCTATTCACACACATATTGTATTTCATATATACACATTATTATTTATACAGAATCAGGTTATTTGGGTATTTTGATTAATTGAGAATAACCATTCTGTTCAGTAGCTGGATTATCTATCTTCACAGAATTAGAATATAACAAAATGCGTTAGCACTACAATTCTACTGAACATAATTTAGCATTTCTTCGTTTTCAGAAAGAATTTCAGAATCATGCAGTTTCCCAGGGTAATCATTATTAGCATTAATTATCTTTTATTAGTACCATGCATGCATGAGTTATAAGAGATTGAGCTCAATTTATACAGCATGTTTTACACATCTAGGACATTGTTCTCCTTATTCTTTTTTTAAAATTTGAAATATTTTCATTTATTCATTTTTCTTTTTATAGGATAAATGTAAAATATGACCCTTAAATATGTGGATTCTGAATTGGGGCCTTAATATATTACATTACCCGCAACCAAATTTTTTAATTATGTAGCTCCCAGTAAATATTCCAAAGACTCCTTTATTCACTTGAAGAGTAGAAAATATGCAACTTATACTTCATGTTAATGCTCTTATCTTTAAATTACTTCATATTCTAAATCAATGTTAACGATGATGAATGCTGAGATACCTAAATGCAGCTGTTGTCAAAATGTCAGTGTGTTTTTTAGCCTAACACTGAAAATTAATTTTTTTTGAAAAACTTAAACATCATTAAAAATAGTTTTAGTGCTAGAAATAGTGTAGTAGTGGTAGTAATAAGAGGTAAAATTAGATAATGATTATAATTTATTCTATACTTACTATGTGCTAGAAACTTTGCTAAGAACTTTACATTTAATAATACATGAAATCCTCACAGTAATGTTATGAGGTTGTCATTATTATTCATGTAATAATGAGGAATTTGAGATGTAAAATAATTTTTCAAGATTTACACTTGTAAGTGGACTCCAGCCTAGACTATCTTTCCAAGGCCTTGCTTGTAACCACTGTGAAAGACAGACTTACACATTGTAATTGGTAATTCTTGTAGTATTTTTATTCCCTCTTTAAAAATATGGCAACAGAGCAAAGGATTGTTTCAGAAAGTTTGCAAGTTGTAAACAGCAAACCCAGAACCATAAACCAAGTACTACTATTCTGATCCAAGGATCTTTCTACTACCCTCCCCTGCCTTCCTATGTGTTTATATACAATATTGTCTTTTGCTTTATTTTAGAGCCTTAGATTATTTTCATTTAATATGTATACCACACATATTACTGAGGAATTTTCACATTTATATTTGGACATTTAAATTAATTCATCTAGAAATTTGAAAGCTTCTAAAATGCCAGTGGAATGATTGGAAACTAGTGATTTTTGAATGAAAGAGCTTTTGACTATACAAATGAATGAACCAGAAAAGTGCAGCTGTGTTTAGAAAGAGGCTTTCTAATAGTCCAAGGCAGAATTTATTAGGTATTCCCTCGTAATGAGTTCCATATAATATTCTCTCAGCTAGTAAGTTAAAGATCATCTTTGTAGCCGACAAGCCTATAGATTCTGACATATATTTTTTTTAAAGCTTACATTTGTTAGTAAAGCAAGCAGATAAGATGCTGCCATTGTGTGCCTAATTGGTGTCCTAAGGAAGAGATTTCTAACATCTAGATGACATGAGATTGAAGAGACGATATTTACTATTGGTCAATGCCATTTTCTTCCTGCTACATTTCCAACTCTAATAAACATTTAAAAGAACATCCATGAGAATATACAATAAGCTGAGCTGAGCTTTTCAAAAGTTAAAATTATTTGCCTCTTTATCTTGTTGAGCATTTCACAGAATGCTGTTTCTGTTATGTGTCAACAATGGCATAGGGTGAGGCAATGCTAACTGAGTAATAAAATACCTGTTTGATGAGGTAATTGAGAAAGGACCTGTAGTTGGACTGCAATTCTTGCTACACCATGGAGGGCTCTGCCTCCTTTCTCTGCCTCGCTATGAATGATGTTAGTTGAACTCCAATTGCCTCAGGCTGCAATTTGGGATTTACTAAAAATTGTTGTAAGTTATAGGATTATGATCAGATGGGAGTTTTTAGTTAAGAAACAAACATTAGGTAAAGGGCATTACATCATCAGCTAAGGAAAATTTGCTTTACTGCTCATGATTCCCATTAACTAGGGGAAAAAATCATATAGTGCTTTAACATTTTCTATTATAATATTTCTGCTCTTTACAATTCATTTTTTCATTTAATTAGCATCTAGATTCAAAATTGTATGACCTATAGTAAAATGACCTTTATTTACCTTTATTGAAGTATTTCTTATTCATTCTTCTTTAAGGTAGGTGTTTTTCTTTTAGACAAATAATTGATTTAGTTTGTTCTTTCTTATGCTTTTAAATATGAATTATATTCTGATTTATATTGTAGTGATTTGCATATTTAGCATAAATATGCAAAATACTATATTGTTATTTAAGAATGAGACTTATATTTTATTCTTCTTTATAAGTTTGGGTAACACGAAGCCTTTAACACATTAAATACCTAATAAGGATTTACTGATTTACAATTTTTTGTTTAGTAATCAACTCTGAGAAGGCTTAGAAAGGATTGTTTTGGGTGTGATATGTGAAATTTGAGAAATTTAAAAATACTTATGGCAGTAAGAATGCACTTATTAGTTGGAGTATAGAAATTTCAACTGAAATGGGATTCATTAATTTTCTCATTGTTCTTACTGGTTAAGGGAAAAGTAAAATAACATGTATGCATATGTATAATACACATGTGTATGTAGAGAATGCACAATGTATAAAAACATAAAATATCAAGTTTTTATGTACTTACACACACTAAGAGTATAACAAACCTTGAACATTACATCCATGTTGTCCATTAATATTAGTAACAAGTAAGTCTGTAAAACATTTTTACTCCTTCTATCACCATTAATCCCAGCTTTACCCTCTTCCATCTCTGTCATCCCCATTTTGCTCTGGTAATCACCCTACCGTTGTCTGTGTCTGAGTTTTTTTCTTTGCTTAATCCCTTGACATTCTTCACCAAACTCCCAACCTGCTTTATCCTCTGTGACAGCTGTCAATCTGTTCTCTATATCCATGAGTCTGTTTCTATTTTGTTTGGTTGGTTAATTTGTTCATTCGATTCTACATATTGAAATCATATGGTACTTGTCCTTCTCTGACTGGTGTATTTCACTTAGCATAATACTTTCCAGGCCCATCCAAGCTGTCACCAAAGGTTAAGGTTTCCTTCTTTGCCATGGCTGAGTAGTATCTCATTGTGTAAATATATCACAGCTTTTTTTATCTACTCATCTACTGATGGGCACTTGGGCTGCTATCAAATCTTGGCTGTTGCAAGGCTATCTTATAAAATAGAAGGAGAAATTAAGAGCTTCTAAGACAGGGAAAAACTAAAGGAGGTTTTTGGTGTTGGGTTTTTTTTACCATCAAACCAGTAATGTTAAAGAAAAAACTAAAGGAGATTGTTACTACCAAAACAAAAATGTTAAATGTTCTCCTTTAAGAAAAAGAAGAAAAAACAAACAAACAAGGAACATAGTTAAATGAGTAAAATGGCAATATTACATACCTAGCAATAATCACTTTAAATGTAAACGGCTTAAATGCTTCAATCAAAAGGCCTAGGGAGCTGAATGGATAAGAAAAACAAAACTCACATATGCTGTCTACAAGAGACCCACCTCAGAATGAGAGATACACACAGACTAAAAGTAAATGGATGGAAAAAGATATTTCATGCAAAAAGAAATAAAACAAAAGCTGGAATAGCAATACTTATATCTGACAAATAGACTTTAAAACAAAGACTATAGTAAGAGACAAAGAAGAACACTATGTAATGATAAAGGGAACAATCCAATAAGACGATATAACTCTTGAAAACATTTAAACACCCAATATAAGAGCACATAAATATGTAAAGCAAACCTTGGTAGACATAAAGGGAGGGACCAACAGTTCCATAGACATAGTAGGGGATTTTACCACTCCATTGACATCAATGGATAGATCTTCCAGACAGAAAAGCAACAAAGAAACAGCAGCTTTAAATGACACACTAAATCACATGGATTTAATTAATATTTTTCAGAGCATCTCACCCCAAAACACTATGATATACATTCTTTTCAAGTGCACATGGAACATTTTCTAGGATAGACTACATGTAAGGCCACAAAAAAAGTTTCAATACATTTAAGAAGAGTGAAGTCAGATCAAGCATATTTTCTGACCACAATTGTATGAAACTAGAAATCAATCACAGGGGAAAACAACTGAAAAAAAAGACACAGAGGATAAATAACATGTTACTAAGGGAGAAATCAAAAGTTACCTTGCAAGAAATGAAAATGAGAACACAACAACCCCAAATGTATGGGACATAGTGAAAGTAGCCTAAGAGGGAAATTCATAGCACCACAGGCCTATCTCAAGAAACAAGAAAAATCTCAACCAATCTAGCTTTACGCTTAAAGGAACTAGAAAAAGAACAACAAACAAAGCCCAAAGTGAGTAGAAGAAAGGAAATAATAAAGTTCAGAGAAGAAATACATGAAATAGACTCTAGAAAAAATACAAATGATCAATGAAACCAAGAGCTGGTTTTAGGAAAAGATGTTGAACAAAACTTTGAAGCAGACTCATTAAGAAAAAAAGAGAGAGGACCCAAATAAATGCAATCAGAAATGAAAGAGAAGTAACAACTGACACCAAAGAAATACACAGGTTTGTAAGAAAAACATTACAAACAACTATTAAAGTCTTCAATATAATAGCATTAAATTATATATCACAATTTATATAAACAATACTTAAACACATTTTATTATAGAATTGACAATACAAACAAAACTCTCCAAATAAATATATTTATTTGGTCGTATATTTATGTTATGTGAATTACTGATAGTTCTAATTTCAGCTTTGGATAAATTAAAAGGTAGTGTGATATTACTAGGAAATGGGAGTCTTAGAAACTCCAAAGTGCCTATTTTCAGGTTGGAACAAGATGAACTTTTAGCAAAAAAGGACATACAAAGAAGTCAGGCCTAACATAAACAAAGATATTTACCTAATCTTTAATTTTTTTGTGACAAATTTAAAAATCATATTTAAATAAATGCGAAAAAATAAATGAATTAAGAAAAAATTTAAATTTTACTTAAAAATATATAAGTATTTTAATAAAATAAGTTAAAAGTCTTAAATGATTATGGGCTCCCCTTATCCCAGCCACCTCAACTCAAGTTACTTCTTGTAATAGGGTATTTTCCTCTTGGTTTCTTAAATATGATGTAAAATCACATATCCTTTGCTATATTCCAATTTAAAATAGATGTCACTCTTTGTAAGGCACAATTATTGTGTATACTCTGTATCAGCAAAATGAAGTCCATGAAAATATATTTAGGTTTTAATGTGGGTTAAATACCACTTCTTTTATCAGAAATACTTAGTCAATGTATCTAGCCTTTATTTTTATCTTATCAGAAGCCAGAATTCAGTATATTTACATAAATCCAGATATCCCTTTGATTACTTCAAAAATGATTAATGTGTTTTATTATCTGGCCTTTTGACAACACAGACACACTTTAAAATGAGCTGATTTTACAAATTAGTAAATTTCTAAACTTTATTTCTCCACAGAGCCCACATAATTATAGCTGATATACCTCTACTTACAAAGTTTAAATAATATGTAATATAACTTTGCTTAATCTGTGATAAAACCATCAAAAATTATACAAGAATAAGATGGCTTTCTCTGAGAGTTACAAGGAAGGAAATTTGAAATTCTACATATCTTAGAATGGTGATCATAACAGGATTCAGCGTGCATGTCATTTTATCAGACTTATCTGAAGTATTTGCAATTTACACTAACTGCAGAGAATGATTTGAATTTTATTTTATGTAGTATGCTTACCCTTCATTTATTCCTAAAGCAGTATGTTTGCTATACATATATACATCATTTTTAGAGCACAGATGTAACAAGACCATGCTGCCATTCAAAATTAAGGTGCCACATTTTTTTTTTTTACAATCAAATGGCATCCAAAATGCAATATATCTTCACAGATTGGCATTGATGAGTGAGGTTGGTCACAATGAAATGGGATTTTTTTTATAGAAATGGGAAACAATGTATCATAAATATACAGACCAATATATAACATTGAAGAACAAGAAGCAGAAAGGAAACAATGCTCTTGCATAAAGGTCGATTCTCTTTGCTGCTGTTGGAATAACGGGTTTGGCGGGGGGAGGCTTCTTGTTGCTCTTTGCCTGCGACTTCCCAAGTCCATTGTTGACTTCGATAGGTTTCCCGTAGCAGTCATAATTGGATAATTCAAAATCTCTTGGCAAGCTCCCCACAATGCTGAAGTCATTAGATCTCAGGTCAGACTTGGAAGTACAAACTTTTTTGCATCTGTTCTCACCAACCTGAAAATAAAAATTAAACACAGAGTGTTTTTAGAATTTTCTATTTATAAAACACATCTCTTCAAAGGGATATTTTAAAAATCAGATATAAAAGACAACTGGTTAAACCATCAGATTGCCTGAACATTTAACTCTAAAATGTGGCCTCTTTCAAGGTTTAGGTCATGGAATGAACTTTGATGGATTATTTTATGTTAAGGGATCAAAATGCAAATAGACATTTATCTTGGGTGCTCCCAGGCTTGTGAGTTCTCAACTGAAAGACCAATGAATAAAAATCCAATATTTAATCACAACACAGACCAATATATGGATTACTACAATATATGGATTACAGAAATCTTCCTCCGGTACTTACAAGCTTTGACTTGTGGACACTATTTCCAAATAAGGTAGTTTATAAATGATAAAGGTATTTACCACCCCAACGAGACAGATTGTTGTCTCTAAACCACACTCACAAATAAGAACTATAAGATGGTCACAACTATCATGAACCAAAGCTTTGCTAGTGAAAGGAATTCCTAACTTGTTGGCTAAAGTTGAATTAGCAAACCACACTCAGAGAACTTGAAGAAATGGTGCATATTTTAGCCAGAGTGCATGCTACAGAGATTATTCTGTTCCAGACAGAAGACTGCATTTAAAGTTCTAGGTTTCCAGGGTTGCCCGAGGAATGTGTAGGTCTCAGCATGTATCAGTGAGTTTTTGTAAAGAGTACATAATTACCTTGATTGGAAGACAAATTGAGAACAGACTCTACATACCAAATGTTTGCATTATCCTCAAACTATCAAAGCAGTTTTCAAAATCTGACACATGGTGGATATCCCACACTTTCTATCTTTAGAATTTTCCACTCTAAAAGCTTTAGATGCACTCACTTTACTTTAGATCCATTCATCAAAACAAAGAACTCTAGCTTTAGACTTAGAAAGTATGACTTCTTATCAGTTATTTTTATTTTTCTCAAAAAAAGCCACATGTATTTACTATAGAAATGCATTTACTGTAAATGATATTTTATATGTGGCTTTTGTATCTGTAAATAACTAAACAAGAAGCCAAATTTATGTGATGTTAGGACTTGTCACACAAAAATACTTCCAATTGTTCTTATTTACATAAATTTTTAATTCTTTTTATTTACATAAACATATTCTTATATTCTAGCAATTTTAATGATGTTAGAATTTTATTTATATAGTTTATTCAAATGTAGGTATAGAATATTTATTCAGAAATATTATTTAAATATAGTAAACATGTCAGTAAGAGAAGAATGATTTCTTCAATGTTAACATATAGCATAGAAAAGCACTCCAAAAAGTTTCAATTTGGTTATACTAAATTTTTAACTATTTATTTTGTTAAAACCTTTTCCGGAGATGTATTTGAAATCAGTGTGTGTGTGTGTGTGTGTGTGTGTGTGTGTGTGTTGATGGAAAGAACCTCTATCTATTACAGAAGTAATTTTTAATGATATGACACAACTAAATAAGGTATAAGATTAAGTTTCCTACTGAGAAGTTCTCAGGTTCCTTAAATAGCTCATGATTCATTAACAAATTGGCTGATCTAATCTTGTCCCTTTCATCAGAAATTTTAAACAGACAACTTCCTTTTTTTAATTACTCTCTACACATATGTATCATTTATATGTACATAAAAGTATAAAATAGTTTATAATATAAACACTATTTTAAAAAATTATCACATGAAGAGGGACTCAATAAAGTGCTTATAAAAGAAATAGTAACCCTAGTTATTAACACATTCTTAAAAGTGATCTTGATTATATTAATCTCCAATTTATAATTTCTCATTATTTTCTCATATGGGTCTCACTTTCATATAAACTTGTCACTTCTCAAAATTACTGGTAGCAAAAATGAGGTAGTATAATAATGAAACTGTAAAAAATAAAAAATAATGCAGATTTAAAACCACCTAATGCTTCAAATTTTAACCTCTGAGGTTTTCCTTCTGATTCTTTTCAGTCTGTGTCTATACACATTTAATAGCAAATCACCTTTTATGATGTTTCTTGAGCAGAAGACTTAGGCACGATTTCAATGTGATAATGGTATTTCCACAGAAGATAAAAATATGCTCAAAATGAATAAACTCTATATATTACACAAAATTTAAATCAACATTTAACTTTAAAAACACATTATTCCTGTAAAGAAACAACTATTTTATTCATGCATGAACAACAACTTTTATATATGAATTTATCCAAATCCATAGACATGAATACTATTTTGGCTTTTTTTCAAAATACCTTTGTTGTAAATAGCACTTACTAGGTATTAAGAACAGGATGATATTGACAACAGTAGGTCCTTAACTGTACTTATTAAATAAAAAAGAAATACATGAGTGAACAAATTAGTAACCAAATTTAGTAACAGCTGAGGAAGTGCAAAATTTAGGGAGGGAAAACTTAGACAATTATAAATGAATAATGGTATATTTCTGTATGTAGTCAAAATTATGAAGTTATGAAAACTTCTTACTAAAAGCTAGGTTAAATTATCATTGATCTTTCTTAAATTTTTTATCATTATGTGTCGTAAGTGTTTCGCTCCACGTCCTGCATGGTTCAGGGTTCGGGTCTGGAAGAGGAGCTGCACAACAAATGAAAAAGAAAAGACGGGAGATAATTTGGGAATACCAGGGGACCAAACGAGCAAGTCCAACTCAAGAGGAAGGACTTCCACTGTGCTCAGGCCTCACCAAGCTTTTTATAGTGAGAGGTAAACAAGGTAGTGGTTACCATAGTTACACAGTTCTTGTGAGTTTCACTTGTTTTGACCATGGTTACACTTTCTGCACTTCCTCAGCCCCTTAGCTTCCCAGATAAGATCTAGGGAGTGTTATAAGGTCAAGCCTAATTATGCTAAGAGGACTGTGCCCTCTAAGCTAGGACTTGTTTGTGACTTTGCCAGCAGGTCAGTCCGAGGCTTAACCCTATATCAGTTTCCCACAATTATGTTTCTTAGCAAGAACATTATTAAAAAATCAGCATTAGCCCAGCTGGTGTGCCACAGTGGTGGAGCATCAAACTATGAACCAGAAGGTCACAGTTCGATTCCTGTTCAGAGCACATGCCCAGGTTGCAGGCTTGGTCTCCAGTGGGGGGCGTGCAGGAGGCAGCCCATCATTGATTCTCTCTCATCATTGATGTTTCTATCTCTCTCTCCCTCTCCCTTCCTTTCTGAGATCAATTTTTAAAAATCATCCTTAAATGTTTTCTATAACCCAAATTTCATTATGCTCCCATTAATATTGTTATTCTGTCTAAAAATAAATGACATATCTGGTTGAAATTACTCAGCAAAAGCAAAATGTTCTGAAAGCAAAATACACTAGAGCAAATACATTTTGAAACCAAAAGCACTAAATTAAAAAGGCAAAAATTGTTTAATTTCTTTTTTTATACTTTTTTTCATGTGTCAATGTGTAACAATCTTACAAATTTCTCACACACATTTACTGTAAGTTTGATGCTTACATTAAAGCTAAATTATTTTTGGACACATTCTCTCATTTTGAAGCCTGTTTGATGATACAAACATTACATAGTTACAATATTAATTTTGGAAATTGCATTTTGGCCTGTAAGAAATAAGAGTAATTTACATTTACATCTGGATATTAGAATTTCTGGTCAATGTTTAAACTCTCTAAGCATCACTCTGCCACTTTTGTAGTAAAATGTCATAGCAATTTCAGAATCCAGACAGGTCTGTGTCTATTAGCAACTGAAAATATAGAGGATTAAAATACGGAAGTTATTATATACTGAACTTTTATTCATTAGGTAATTATTTCAATGTTTAAAAGCTGAATTTAAAATAATATAACTCAGTCTAATACTCTGGATCCTATTTATTCTTCATATTTATGTTCATAAATAATCTTGATATGTTCTACAGTGCTCTGAAAATCTGGTTCTCATGTGTCTCCTTCCCTCAATACCCCACTTCATGGAATGCATTAAGATTCCAAGCTCATCTGCACATTGGTGTTCTGTGGGACTAGAGAATTTCTGCAGTTACAGAGGCCCCACCACACACTAGAGAATGGAGATGATTGTGGCACTCCTGAAATCAAGCACCTGCTCTACAAAACATCTTTGCTTCCTATCTCCAGATCTCTTCACCGGGATCCAAGTTAGAGGGTGGGCAGATTAGCTGGTTGGAAATATGAGGAAGTAGTAAGATTGGAAGCTGTAAGTGGGCAGGTAAGACATGTCAAAGACGTGACTTCTTTTTTAAAAATATGTTTTTATTGATTTTATGCCGAAACCGGTTTGGCTCAGTGGATAGAGCGTCGGCCTGCGGACTGAAAGGTCCCAGGTTCGATCCCGGTCAAGGGCATGTACCTGGGTTGCGGGCACATCCCCAATAGGAGATGTGCGGGAGGCAGCTGATCGATGTTTCTCTCTCATCGATGTTTCTAACTCTCTATCTCTCTCCCTTCCTCTCTGTAAAACATCAATAAAATATATTAAATATATATATATATATATATATATATATATGTTTTTATTGATTTTAAAGAGAGTGGAAGGGGGAGGGGTAGAGAAATAGAAACATCGATGAGAGAGATGTATCAGTCTGTTGCCACGTGTCCACTACCTGGGCATGTGCCCTGACCGGGAATCAAACCCGTAACCTCTGGGTTCATGAATTGACACTCAACCACTGAGCCACACTAGCTGGGCAAAGACATTACTTCTTTAAGGCCATGATAGCTCTCCATTAATGAAAATGTTATTCCTTATGAAAATGATTAGGGTATTAAAGAGTTATAAGGTCTGAAGAAATGTCCTGCAAAGTAGCAACTAATAATTTGCAGAAGTCTTAGTTGTAGTCTCAGGAAGTGAGTTCAATTACTTAGCAAAAAAAGGAAAAATCTACAGGCAGCATCACATAAGAATTGTTTGCCTGCTTTTGTACATAACAATACGTATGTAGCATACTTATCTCATTTAGGGGAGTGGTCAACAAACTGAGTCGCATGGGGCCAGAAAATAGAGCAAGCAAAAGTTTCAAGGTTCTAGAATGCAATATACAAATAGTCTCTTGAGGAATTTTCCATGCTAAGCTCAGTGGAAATCATCTATTGGTTTATTAGTCTTCCCAACCAGAGGACATCAATTAGAGACACTTTGGGGACACTATCCTAATCCATGAAGTAGCCTGTTGCTTCAGGATTTATCAAACCTGAACCTACAAACATCAACCACTATTCCTAGACCTATGATCAAGGACAAGACAACGTGACAGAGTGAAACCTGTCCAATTCTCCAGGTACTCACCCCTAAGCTGGGCAGATCTCAAACTATGTGCTAGTTTCCCTGTGAGCCAGGCACCCGATAAGTAAGTAGCCTGCCTGTCCTGTTCTGGGTGAAACTCTCTAAATTGATGGGAAACATGTAGGGGGATTTAATCCGGAGCATAGCTCCCCTAAGTCTTCACTGTAAGTAAAAGGTTGGTGCTTTCCCAACAGTTCTCTGGCCTTTCACTAAAGCTTTCATATGAGAAACATTTGTAAGGCGGTCTGTAGTTCTGGCAAGACCTCCACATGGGATGGTGACCATCAACGCAGAGATACATCATTAAACTCAGTGGAAAGTCCACCAAAAACGTGATAGGGTGTTGGACTCTTTTTCTTAATGAGTATGTGACCTACATGGTTTCTGGTTGCTTTCCGAAAAGTATGTAGTGCTTAGTTTCTTTTCATCAATGAGAAAAAATGAGTGAATGCCAATTGGATCAAACATTTACGCCCACAGAACAGTATCTCTCTCCTGGCACTAGAGAGCCATGATGGGGGAAATCATCTGGTTGGATAATTTCATTCTTACCTGCAAAGTGCTAATGTGAACCGGAGTCCCTGTACCATTCACAGTATTCTTTTTAGCCGCATTTCCACCTTTTCCATCTGCTTGCTCAGCCTTAGCAATTCTGGCTTTTTCTGCTTCAACTCGTTTGGGGTTATTTAGCATCACCTGGACAACAGCATACTCCACAAGGGAGGCAAACCCAAAGAGAAGACAAGCAATGAGCCATACATCAAGAGCCTTCACGTAGGAGACTTTGGGAAGTTCAGCAGCAAGGGTTGTGCACTCAGAGGCCAAGCTGAGTACTGAAAAGATACCTACAGAAACAGAAGTGGGAATTAAAGTTGCTATTTAGCCCTGTGAAAAAATGTCCTGCAACCATTACTCTTTAACTCCCTCTCCAATACGCTCCAGAGACCCATGAACAATTCATCAGGTCCCTTTAAAGCACAAAGAGTAGAAGAAATAATACACACAGACTTTTTATGTCAGCATTATCAAATGTGGTTGGGGATGTTTGTAAATACTCAGTAAACAAAGAAATAGAAATTTAAACTGAGACATAAAAACACCTTTTGGAGCTGGTTTAAATATCAAAGCTATCTAAAACTCTTCTCTAGTATCTCTGAGGAAGCTACAAAGCTTATTTCGTTTCTTTAGCATTCTTTCAGACAGTTATAGAGTTGAATTTGATCCCACGAACAACTGAATCTGAACAAAAATAGAACATATAAAGCAATTTACTGATAAGGGTCACAATTTTTTTAAATGTAATAGGAAAGACAAAGTACAGAACATTCCTGGTTATTTTAGAGAAAGCAAATGATTCCGGTTTTAAAGGAAAGAAGGAAATTCTGCTATATGTAATATTAACGGTACATGGAAAGCTAACTCCAAAGTACCCCTGGGAGCCAGACATTTCTTTATATTTTATTTTTTCATTAATTTTATTGGGGTGAGACTGGGAAACAAGATCACATATGTTTCAAGTGTATATTTCTAGGATACATCATCTGTAGGTTGCTTTGTGTGCTCACCACCCAAAGTCAAATCATCTTCTGTCACCATATATTTGGTTCTCTTTACCCTTTACTACCCCTCCCAGGCCCTTCCCTCTGGTAACCACCATACTGTTGTCTGTGCCTGTAAGTTTCAGTTTTATATCCCACATGCGAGTGAAATCATAGGGTTCTAGCTTTTTCTGACTGACTTATTTTGTTGCCACAAATGGCAGTATTTCATCTTCTCTTATGGCTGAGTAGTATTCCATAGTATATATGTACTGACATTTCAATTTATACAGAGCAGGGCAAAAGTAAGTTGTTCACATGGAAAAAGACATGCAAGTTATGATTGTTACAGTAGCTTTGTTAACTCAAAAGAATGCCACAATGGCACACACACAAAAAAACCTACTTTTGCTCACGCCTGTGTTACTACATGAGAGTAAAATATTTCTAGTAAACCAAAAAATATTGACTATTTGCGGGGGGTGGGGGGAAATGCATAATGTTTTTGACAAGTCTAGTAATTTAAGTCTAGTTTTGGGTGTTTTATTGCCAGAAAATTATACTGCATAGTTAACTCTTATCCTCTACAATAATTAATCTATCAATTGTCATTGTCTTCAATACTGATACGTGACCCTTAGAATAAAATTTCCTACACGTTTGGTTATTAAGACATAGATTTGGTCTCTGTGGTTTTTATTAGATGTAAACCTCCAAGTTTCTTATTCAGACAATGTTGTCATTTTCATTGCTTCTTTCCTGGTTTCCTTCTTTTCAAAATCTGTAATTCATTTAATTATCCCTGTAAGTTGGAACAGGGAGATTTGCACAAGGCTTTTCTGATGGAAGAAAAAAATGAAATTCTGCAACCAGTCAGTCACTGAGAAGTCAGATATATCACATTTTTACCTATGTGAGTTCTAGGTTATATTCAGAACATACACACATGCATGCACATACACAAACACACAGTCATGAAAAGACTTAAAACACTCCTAACAAACACTCCAAACAAAATGTCCTTACTTTGAAATTCATTCACTTTACCCATTAGTAAGGCTCTTGATGACCTCCCTAAGCACAGACCTTTTAGTCCCTGTACCGACACGATTTTCAACTCTGGCTAACGGTGCTTCCATGTCACAGAACATTAAAAATAACGATTGGAGGGTATGGATAACCAGCCCTTACTCTTTCTAGCCACTGCTGATGATATAGCACAGTGATGGCGAACCTTTTGAGCTCGGCGTGTCAGCATTTTGAAAAACCCTAACTTAACTCTGGTGCCGTGTCACATATAGAAATTTTTTGATTTTTGCAACCATAGTAAAACAAAGACTTATATTTTTGATATTTATTTTACATATTTAAATGCCATTTAACAAAGAAAAATCAATCAAAAAAGAGTTCGCGTGTCACCTCTGACACGCGTATCATAGGTTCGCCATCACTGATATAGCACATAATAACTGATGTTTAGGAAAGTGATGCTTAGTCATTTTTTTAAAAGAAGTAGGATTTTATATCCCTGACAGAGAGTATAAGATAGTATAAATTATTTATTGGAAAGATTTTCATAAAAGTTATTGTTTTTAAGTTTGTCACTATTTGGGAATTTAGACTTTAGTTATCAGTGAATATCACGTATTAATAATTATTTTATGAAAGTCAAAGTAGGATATATTTACTGTTGAAAATGCCCAAGGACACACACACACACACACAAAAAAAAAAACTTAGCTTAATTAGAGTGCCTAAATATTGAGAAAATCTAACTTAATGGCACGTTTTAAGGAGGTTAAAAAAAAAAAAAAGGAAGAAAAAGCTTGCCATCAACTCCCAAACTAATTATTTCAAAATATTTGACTGTATAGTTAGTTCACTAAAGACATCACACATTCCTGACACAAGAGGGAAGTATGGAGCACTTTACCCAGCGGCACTCTGGCAGCACTGGCGTCGGGGTTGATCCAGAAGGAAAGCCAGGAGAGAACCACGATCAGCAGGGTCGGGGCGTAGACGCCCATCATGTAAAACCCAACCTGTCTCCGCAGGGTGAAGATGACTTCCACACAGGTGTAGTACCCTTCCGAAACAAACGTATTAAAACATGAGGTTCTCACCCACATCCAAATTCAGAAATCAATAAGGTACCTATAAGTTATGTTACTTCTATTTGAGACAGTTTCACAAAGTCAACTAGAGAGTGTGTGTGTGTGTGTGTGTGTGTGTGTGTGTGTGTGTGTGTGTGTATGGTGTGGTCTATAAGGATGACACTATAGGGCCAGTTTCACCTGACCTTTCACAACTTCACTATGACATTGAGAAACAGATACCAATGTGTGGCTCCACTTCCATCACTGCCTTGGCTAGAAGCCTTTGTTCAGAGAATTTACAATGGACTTAAACTTCTCATTTACTCTCTGAGAAAATTATCTCAAGGAATCATACAGGGTGCAATAAACCAAATCCAGACAAGTCCAGAAAGAAACACTCCTGAACTACATGTGGTCAGTATAATTTTTCACCCGCATCTATCACTTCTTATCTATAAAGCAGGGCAGTCTCCTATACTTATATGCATATTGAAGCCTTAAAAACTAAGAATGTATTGGAAGTAAACATTAGCGAGAATAAGTGTTTTCATTTTATTTAGATAGAATATTATAAAGTACAAGCATCTGAGATTCCTCTCAATTCTCCCTTCCTCCACTCCAAGCCCTCAAACATTCTCTGGCTGAGGGAAAGGACTTCATTTTCATAACCTGAGACAAATGCAGACATTTCTTTACAACATAATTCTGGAGCTGCCATGACATCAACTAGTTCCCCCAAATTAATCACAAATTATGAGCAGCCTCATAATAACTTTTGATGACTTGAGACAGAAAATAAGTGACGTAAATAGTCTCCTAACACTGGACTATTTCCAGATGTTTGTATTTAATTTTTAAATGCTTTAGTACTTTCAGTCAGCAATTTAAGTGTGATATTTAATGCCTAAAGCACTAAATTTAAATTAAAATGTCATTTACCATTCAACCAAAGTAAGGTTATGTACAAATACCAAGAAGTTAAAATATCTTCAATATCTTCAGAAATTTTTTGATTTTTGCAACCATAGTAAAACAAAGACTTATATTTTTGATATTTATTTTACATATTTAAATGCCATTTAACAAAGAAAAATCAATCAAAAAAGAGTTCGCGTGTCACCTCTGACACGCGTATCATAGGTTCGCCATCACTGATATAGCACATAATAACTGATGTTTAGGAAAGTGATGCTTAGTCATTTTTTTAAAAGAAGTAGGATTTTATATCCCTGACAGAGAGTATAAGATAGTATAAATTATTTATTGGAAAGATTTTGTGTTCAGCCTAAACTGTACATTGTTATTTATAAATGTTGAAACAAATAAATTAACAATGAATAAATAAAATACTTATAGGAAAAAGACAATATTACTTTTTACTATTTTACATTTAAAAAGTAATATTTATCTATTTTTCCCGGTTATAAAGAATGTATACACTTCTGACACTAGAACAATCTTCATATTTATTCATTAATGGTGCTTATAACAAAATTTGCCATCATTAGAGCTAACATGTAAGAACAATAAATAGCTGATTTGGGCTGAAGCAAATTCTAATTATGCCACATGTTTCCATATTATCAAAAAACAATAAATGCAGAATGTTTTTTCTTTTTCTTTTTAAATTTTAATTTCATGAAAACTAGACACAGGTTTTAAAAGATACAAAAGGCAATAAACTAAAAAAAAATATCCCTCCCTTTTCTGTTTCTAGCCACTCATCTTAACTTCCTGCCCAGACAAACAAGAACACATGTTTCTAACTAACAATCACGTGCAAATTTTCCAAAATATAATCTTTCATAAATCCAATATGCTACGGTTAAGAAGCTCACAGTATTTCCCACAAGTGGTTCTGAAGTACCTGGCTTTGTAATGTATCACTTAAGTTAATTTTATATTCATCTAGTATGTGAGAAATAGGGAATGACACAATGTGCTTATGTATTTTTAGGTAGCCCAAGTAGTCAGAAATATGACAATTTACTATAGAGTTGTTCGCTTTAAGACAAATTTTTGCATTCCATCCAACCATGTTTAAATGACAGCCTAAATAACACAAGTCCTGTATTCTAAAGCAAGTTTCCACCACGTTCCCTTAGGAAGGCACCTCTGGGGGAGCTTCCCAAGATCTGGACGCATTTGGCAGTAAAATACAGGCTTGGATATTATCGCGATTTGCTCCATAAACTTTTATGAGAAACATTTCTTGACCTTTTTTGATCTCTTCCTGGTACTGTTACATTTATGAGAGGCAGGTGGGCAGCTAATTGATATAAATGTTCATTGGCAAATTCAATTTATTTTCTATTTCCTGTGGGATTTCATTTCATTATTATTCACTCAGGCTTCCAATTTAAGTATTTTTGTATACTTTCCCACATATTTCTCCACCTTTGCAATTTCTACAATTATTAAAACAATTTTTAATCAAGTTAAAGCCAATTCATTATTTCTGATATTGCTGTACACATTAAGGAATATGTAGGCCATTATTTTATATATGCTGTTCTCTATATCTTTTTCACTACTTGATTAAGCATTCCATATGTTTTGAATGTTCTATTTTTCTAAATACATTTCTCAATGTTATGCAAAGATTAATTTATGATTTACTTATATTCATATGATTCATGTAAATGCTGATAAAGCATGTTTACTGAAACACAATGCCAAATATTTTTATATTAACCTTAAGTTTTTTGTTAACTTTTTTTCTGTAACTAATGAGATAGCAGGGACTTATTTATGATAACAAAAAATTCTACAAAATGCTTTACTTTTCATAAATCTTGAGTAATTCTTCAAGTACTCTCTACCACAGCACACCTTTTCATTTTTTTCTCAGAACTAAAATGAACTATATCTGTTTATTTATTTATTTACCATATTAGAGTATGAATCTATAAAAGGACATCGTTCTCTCTTTTATTCACTGTTGAATCCCCAAATGGGGACTTTTAAATGAAGGAATTAAAGGTAAAAAAATTAAAAGCCCCATAATTTTCAATGCTGGTCCTTAATTTTATGCTATTACTTAAAATTGGAAATAAGATTACTAGTTTTACTTTCATCTCTAGATGAATTTTAAAACTTCAATAAACGTATTACATATTTTCAAAAACAACAGACTATTAATGTTAAGCATATAATCTGAATGTGGGTAAGTATTGTTAAAGTCCAATAGGACTGACTCCACAGGTTGTGTAGTGATGCCAGACTCACTATCCCAGGACATCATTTAGTAACAGTAGACTTTGGGCAGTTTCTTTGCTTCATTATCCTAATGTGTAAACAGGGAGAATACGGTAAAAGTAATGAACTCAGAGCATTGTTGTGAGGACTAAGTCATAGAATTCCTACAAAGCAGTTAAAACAAAGCCTAAAATAGAGCCAGAACTCAAAAAGCCATCTGCTAAATATGTGTTTTCACAACCATCTCAAATGATTTTTCTTGACTTTCAAGTTTTTTTTTATTATAGTTACTAGGTGAACTGTAAAAATCCCTAAAACTGTAGTCAGTCTCCTTAATTTGAATGGGGAGTATAGAGAGAAGGAATACTATACTATATGCCTAGGCTATGGCTGACCCTGATTTGCCTGGTGACATTCAGTCACCCTGCATCTCAGTTATTTTATTTCAGTATCAATCTGGTCCTTTCTATATTTAAAATTCTATGTGTCTATGATTTGTTCATTGAGTACTTACATGACCACTTTTTTAGTTTTGCCTTTCAAAAAACTTGGTAATTATTTTTTATTATCAAAGTATAGTTGAGAGTCAATATTGTATTAGTTTCAGGTGTACAACATAATGATTCCACATTTATAAACTTTACGAAGTGATCACCATGATAAGTCTAGTAACCATCTATCACAGTAGAAAGTTATTATAATCTTATTGAATTACATTCACTACCAGTGGTCGGCAAACTCATTAGTCAAGAGAGCCAAATATCAACATTACAATGATTGAAATTTCTTCTGAGAGTCAAATTTTTTAAACTTAAACTATATAGGTAGGTACATTGTTATTAACTCAATTAGGGTACTCCTAAGGCTTAGGAAGAGCCACACTCAAGGGGCCAAAGAGCCGCATGTGGCTCTGTGAGCCGCAGTTTGCCAACTATGGCCCTAGGCTATACATTACATCCCCCTGACCTGCTGACTTTACAGTTATAATAAGAAGTTTGCACCTCTTATTCCCCTTTACCTTTTTACCCCTCTCACCACTCCCCTCCCCTCTGGCAGTGTTATAAATGCAACAATAACCAATTTGTAGACAAAGTTAGTTTAAGCATCTGTTGTAATTGACCTTTAAATAAAGTAACAGGTTATATAACATTTCTATGTAAATAAATAATGTAAAATATATGTAAATAGCCCCCAGACTATTTAATAATCTGTTATTAAATTAACAAATTATAAAACATTTATATAAAAATTGACTATATACCATTTATATGTAAGTAGTTCCTAAGGACTATTCATTTATTTGAGGATCAACAAACAACAGATATTTAAACTAACTTTATCTCTGAGTTGCCCAGTGTTGCATTTATTATAACACTCTTAATATGCAAATGTCACTCCACCTTTTATTTTAATATCAGCAGAAATATTTTAAATTATATTTTGTTCTTGGTGATGTCATGATGGCAACACTTTAGCTCAAACATTTGATATTGCTGAATTCTATACAATACACTATACGTTGTTATTTTTGAACAGTCAACATAGATGTTGCCATAAATGTAAACTTTATATCTATCCCTGAATATCTTTGTCTTGATTTACTTCCTGAAATGTAATTAGAATTGTGTGGTATTTACAAGTCAAACTGATTATTAGTAATAATCAAAATTCAATCACTTTTTATTTATATTGCTAATCAAAATAACACTATGTTTAATATGTAAAATCACTCAGTAACATGTAACTATCAGTAGAGACTCAAAGGTTAAGACTAATCATATTATAAAAGTATTGAGTAGTGATTACTGTATTTTTATTTCTGTAAAAGCTTGAGGTAATTAGTGAATGAGGTTAATTTGTTGTGCTTTTCATAATTGGCTGTTCCATAACTTAGGCCAATAATATTAAACGTACAAAAATATTGACTTACGTCCAAATACTTCACACACTCATTGCTTCTTGCACAGCATGAAGATTAATGCTTTTTATAACTAATAATATTGGTCAACCACTACCTAAAAATTGCTCACAGACAACAGATGAGTATAAATGAATTATGTTGCTCATATCCACAGTGTTTGGTCCCAGATTGAATCTTGCCGAAAGTAGAATTTCTTCATAACATCTGGAAAACCACTACCTGGCTAAGTTCATGTTACTAAAATAAAAAATTGAAAACCTCTTCTTACCCAGAATTACATTAAAAAGGCAAAATTCTCCAGTAATAAAAATGTTTTTAAAAACTTTAGTGAATGCAATTTTATGAGAAATTTAAATATAATATTGTAAAGATATACTAATAAATATTGAACTTATTTTTAACTAGTTTTCTTCTATTTTGCCCTTAGCATATATTAATATTAAAACAGATCTTTGAAATAGGATTTAGTTTTGTTTAACTTAAAGATCATTACTTACCAGTGCCTTTATAGTATTTTGTACAGTTACCATATTCAATATCCTCCTTTTTAATATCAAATTGAGGCAAGGCAATTTTTTCTAACTGAACAGGATCCCCTGACTGCCAGATAAATCGTAAATCATCAGTTGTGTAACCAACTATAAACAAAAATAAATAAAAATATTAGTTTGAAATGCAATTATTAATGCTTTCTTAGCATTTTAATAATTCAAATATTCAACACCAAAATGATAAGAGACATGAAATTGTTATTAAAATTAGGTAATATCTATAGCCACTGATGAAAATATTAACACAAAAGTTAAAGATAGTAGTCTTAAAGAAAGAACATGTTAAAATAATCAGCATATTATATATAAAATCCTAGGGTCATACATATCATGTGAGAATTCTGCAATGTCATCAATAAGAAAAAGTAATAAATAAGTGATACTAGCTTTCAAATCATGCAATATACTACCTGGGAAATTTAAAATAAATATAAGCACCAAAACATTTTTAAGAAGTAACTATAAACTTCCCTAAAGGGGTTGCATTGCCACAGGAGAGCAATAAAACAATCCCATCCTCCCCCGACCCCTCTCCCGCTCCAGGGGCCATCATTATGGCATACTGAAGCACAGATTCTGGGCTTAAGTAACGTGGCCCATATGGGCTTTTACAGCATATAGTAACCTACCGTTCAACTCTAAAGTGCATATATTTTTAAAGCAATATTTTAGTTCTTCTGATAATAGAATGGAATATAAATACATAGTTGAGTTTTTAAATGAAAATACACAAGCACACATATGTGTGATACATACACCAACATGGACATATATACACTAACATCTGCAAAATCTTATTTTATAGTTAGAAAGCAATAAATACTCAAATTTAAGATCCAGATTTAGTAACTTAAATAAAAAACAGCTAATAATCATTAATTTTAAAACATATCATCCAACAAGCATATGCTTGCCTACAAGGTTATTATTGTTTATTCTCCACAGAAATAGGTTATGGTAAACAACTAATCAGGTTAAAGATTCCTTATGTTAGTGTTAATATTTTTTTAAAATGCATGGGTGAGTTCTTTTTTTAAAAAATATATTTCATTGATTTTTTTACAGAGAGGAAGGGAGAGGGATAGTCAGAAACATTGATGAGAGAGAAACATTGATCAGCTGCCTCCTGCACACAACCCACTGGGTATGTGGCCACAACCAAGGTACATGCCCTTGACCAGAATCGAATCTGGGACCTTTCAGTCCACAGGCCGACGCTCTATCCACTGAGCCAAACCGGCTAGGGCTTAGTGTTAATATTTTGAATTTTATTTTTAAAAGTCAAGCCTTTTAGCAAATTAATATTTTTAGAGGTACCCATTTCAATTAGTGCACCTATTTCATGTTTTATGATATGAAATATATCTGATCGTAGAAACATAGAGAATCCAATTTTGTAAAAAAAAAATAATAATAATAATGTTTATACACCGATAGAAAAATGAATGCTTGGGAGGATTTAAATAATATTTTTGCACGTTTTTCAAATTTTCTGCTCTAAAAATGTGGTTTTAATATCAGAAAATTATTAGGAAAGCATTTTCTCCTTTATCTTGCCTACATTACTATTTCAAATGAAGATGGCAATTGGAATAAGTTAGAAGTGAACACCTACATCAATTTAACTGTAATACAAAATTAGAATAGTACCAAGAGGATTTGTTTTAGTACAATTAATATAGTAAAAAACTAACGATAATTTCCTTAAATAAATTATTCTAATGACTATTTGTAATCAAAAGCCTTCGTTTTTACCATTGCTATCTAAGATATTAGTAGAATGCACTGCCTAGAAATTTTAAATATTTTTATTCTTATAGTCATTTAGAGTTTTGTTTTACATACAGCTCTCAAGTTGCATTTTGCAGCGTTGTGTATCCATGGGAAACAAGGTCAAGTCCAATGGGCATGAAAGAGTAATAGATAACCTGAAAGTAGAAACAGAGGTCGTAGAAGTCATTTAACATATTTCCCCCTGACATGCTGATTTTAAAAGGAAAATATAAATGTACAAATATTAAACATCAAAGTACCTCATGCTGACAAGGACATCTCCATCCCGAAAAATAAAGAGGAGGATATTCTCCTGGGTTACATCATGAAAATTGGCACTTTTTTCATTTGCAAAAAACAAATCAGGTTTCCACAGACACTTGTACATCGTGGGATCCACTGTCAGGGCATCTGAGCCCCGAAAATCGCTGGGGAGCTTCAGCCTGGGATCGTTCCATTTTTGTCTCAGGAAGATATTAACTCTGTAGTCCTAGGGAAAGAAAAAAAAAATGTGTGCAGGAGTGTGTTTATTGCCAATTTTAAGAACATATTCAGTGGTGGATTTAAAAAGGCTTCAATGATTAGCAGCAGAAATATTCTTTCTCTTCTAACATTAACCAGGATCAAAACAGCTCAGTCACTAAGTACAAAGAGCTCCATCAGCAGTACAAAAAGACCCTTGTGTCTATTTAATTACTCTCTACAGACATTTCCGCAGCACTTGCTAGCTCAAACATCAGAATATAACTTTACCAATAATTGCTTTACCTTTATATAAATACAAATTACTAGTTGGTTAGGAATTGTTATCATAAAAGCATGGGAACTGCTAAACATTATTATTATGCTTCCCAAAAACCATAATAAACTTTAGTTAATAATAGACAAGAAGCCAAAGGAAAATATTTCTACTTGTCTTTTACTAAGTAGCAAACTATAAAAATAATATATGTATATAACTATGTATATTATATAACACATTATATAATATGTTCCTCAGAAGGAAAAAGAAAAACTATCAGACATGTAAATGATTACACAGAGAAAATGAGAAAATCAAATAAAATTTGGATTATGCAAAACAGATAAAAGCACATACAAAATATTATGTTATATTCAACAATGGTACAAAAATGTTTTCAAACCTACTAAGCAGTAGCTAATTATATATTCGAGGTTCGGCCCATCTCCAAATGTTTTAATTTTAAAACTTTGTAAAAACTGAATTCTATAAAAAATTTTGAATTATATCAAGAGACATAGATTTTAAGAATATGTAAACTTAGGAACGTATTTAATAACTTAATACATTATATATCTGTTATTGAAATAAGGTTTTGGCACAAATTGGGTTGTTAGTATATACAGTCAAACTCAGCATTGAGGCATCAAGGTCAGATCTTTTGATTTTAATTTTTATAAATTTTTTAAAAATAAATTTTATTTTATTTTAGAGGGAGAAAGAAACTTTGATGTGAGAGAGAAACACTGACTGGTTGCCTCATGCACACACCCTGACCAGGGAACAACCAGGAAACCTGGTTATGTGCTCTGACCAGGAATCCATTCGGCAACCCTTCAGTGCATGGGACAACACTCAACCCACTGAGCCACACCAGCCAGGGCATGATTTTAATTTAATATAGTGAACTCAGATATGTACAAAAATGTACTAGGTATAGATTGTATTGGGCTTCAGCTTCCTTATTTTAAATCACTCAAAATTCATAAAATACTATTCTATCTATATATAGCCTTTAGCATAATCAAAATGAATTAGGTCATAAACTTCAAATCCAAATCCGAATAATTAAATAAAAAGAGATGATAGTTCATCTTATATTAAATAAGACCTAATATATTTCCATATATGGAAACGTAGACACACACTTTATAAATGTATAACATAAAATTAAGCATAAGCAATAAGCAATGACTCTAGAGAAGCTTGGGGAATTTACTTTCTCTTTCATATGATCTTCAGACAATGTATAGTAATTAGAGAAAATAAGGCACATAATAACAGCAAACATTTACCAAATTATAGACAGTGAAGTAAAATTTAATTTACCTACCTTTAACAGCTACTCTAAACTTAAATGTTTATAAAATCTTCAACATATGAATTGATTCTTAAAAATCATAAGCAGATGGTTTTCGAATGCCAGAGTCAAATACATTAAGGATCATATAAGCTAACACTGAACATATCTGCACCATTGGAAAAAAAAGGTAATATTTTCCCAATCAAATGAACATGGAATCAAAGAGAGAGTAAAAAAATCCCTAAAACCCTAGAAAATGGAGACCTCCCATGCACAGTTACATGACATTTTTTTTCCAAAATATACACATATCTTAATATTCATAATGGAACTTAAGTGATTACATCATATCTGAATTTGATTGTGACAACTTACAGAAATTAACTCAAATATGTCCAAGACAAAGGCTTATCTCCCCCACATGGTGAGCATTCCAGTAGATGCGATGGTGCTTCCTGATAAATGTTTCTATCCATGTCATGTAAACATGCATGGCCCTCCACTTGTGAAGGCTCGTTAGGTTCAATCACCTATACCAGTGGTCGGCAAACTCATTAGTCAAAAGAGCCAAATATCAACAGTACAACGATTGAAATTTCTTTTGAGAGTCAAATTTTTTAAACTTAAACTATATAGGTAGGTACATTGTTATTAACTTAATTAGGGTACTCCTAAGCTGGCCTTTGCTAAAAACGTCCTCAATCTGATTGAGGCACATTCACTGAGGTCGACCCCTTCCAACTCTCACATCCACACTCGTCTTGTATACTTGTTTTGTCTATCTCCTTTCCGAAAACCCACTTCTGCGCATGGGCCACGAAGTTTCAATCGCACTGTACGTGCGCGCCTGCACATGGTATTTTGTGGAAGAGCCACACATGTGGCTCGCGAGCCATGGTTTGCCGACCACTGATCTATACTAATAAAAGCCTAGGTGGTCCTCAGACCCTCACGCACAATGTTGTCACAAGACGGCTGCCATAAGATGGCCGCTTGCACAGAAGAGGCAGAACACGGGGGCCAATTCGCGCAGTGAGGCCTGGGGTCATGCGACTCCGCGCAGTGCGGAGGAGGCCAGGCCGGTGCAGAGGAGGCGGGTCATGATGACGGAGGCAGGTCATGGCAGGGGAGGGCAGTTGGGGGTGATCAGGCTGGCAGGGGAGTGGTTAGGAGTCAATCAGGCCAGCAGGGGAGCAGTTAGGGGGTGATCAGGCTGGCAGGCAGAAGCGGTTAGGGACAGTCAGGCGGGCAGGCAGGCAAGCGGTTAGGAGCCAGCAGTCCTGGATTTTGATGTGGGGGAGACTGTGCATGTTTAGTAGCAGGGTATATATGAGAATTCCATGCTTTCTGCTCAATTTTTTCTGCTGTATACCTAAAACTGCTCTAAAAATGAGGTCTACTGTTAAAAAGTGAATGTAAAATATGCTATAAACAAAGTGAAAGGAAACACAAAGTTAAGAAAAAATTATTTAAAAATTGTAGATAAGGTCAGAAGATCACTGTTTGCCCTTCCAGTATCCTACTAAAATATTTCCCAACAAGCCCACCTAAGAGTTAAATGGTTTTCCAGGAAAATGTAACATTCTTTGAATTGTCATTGTCTTTTATTAGGGCCCCCAAACTCTGTAAAGTTATATAACTTATAGAAGATTGATAAATCAAAAAATTATGCAAATGATTTCTGTCAGGTCTAAGGATAATCCCAAAAATTATGCCTTTATTGCCCCGTGGAACAGTAAGTCTGCATCAAATTTAGGAATCTAATTCTAGCACTCTTTCTTTCAATGCAGTCTCCTGAATCTTCCATTAAATCAACTTTAGTGTTCTGCTGGTTCCCTCATTAATGAGTTATATAAATCAATGACATGCCCTACTATATTTGTTTTTAACTTTTAAAAGAATTATATTTTACCCTCAAAAAGTTGAACATAAAATAACCACATGATCCAGCATTTCCACTCCTAGGTATATACCCAAATGAATTGAAAGCAGAGACTCCACATGTAAATCCTATATAATAAAGAGGTAATATGCAAATTTACCATCACGCCCTCACACAAGATGGCCACCCCCATGTGGGCACAAGATGGCCACCACAAGATGGCTGGCAGGGGAGGGCAGTTGTGGGTAACCAGGCCAGCAGGGGTGGGCAGTTGGGAGTGACCAGGCCAGCAGGGGAGGGAAGTTGGGGCGACCAGGCTGGCAGGGGAGGGCAGTTGAGGGTGATTGGGCCAGTAGGGGAGCAGTTAGGCGTCGATCAGGCTGGCAGGGGTGTGGTTAGGGGGTGATAAGGCTGGCAGGCAGAAGCAGTTAGGGGCAATCAGGCAGGCAGGCAGGTGAGCGGTTGGGAGCTGGTAGTCCCAGATCGTGAGAGGGATGTCCAATTGCCAGTTTAGGCCCAACCCCTGTGGGGTCCCAGATTGGAGAGGGTACAGGCTGGGCTGAGGGACACCCCCTCCCCCTCCAGTGCACGAATTTCGTGCACCGGGCCTCTAGTTTATATTCATAGCCATAATATTGTGAAATAGGTGGAAACAACCTAAGTCTTCATCAACAGATAAGTGAATAATCAAGACGCAGTATATACATACAATGAAGTATTATCTATAATCCTAAAGGCCCAGTGCACTAAATTCATGCAGGGGTAAGGTCCCTATGGGCTGCCAGCTGCCGGCCTGGGCCTTCCTTCATTCCACGCCGCACCCCGATGGTCAGCACACATCATAACAAGCAATCAAATTCCTAGTCGGTCAAACTCCCGAGGGGACACTTTGCATATTATGTTTATATATATATAAAGCCTAATATGCAAATAGACAGAACGGCGGAACAACCGAACAACCAAACAACTGAACAACCGGTTGCTATGATGTGCACTGACCACCAGGGGACACGCACAGAACATGGTGAATGTCAGCAGCAGGAGGCAGAGTGTGGAAGATGGCAGGCATTGGCTGCGGTGGAATGATGGAGCAGGTGAGCAGGGGCGCCATACTAAGTTGGGCAACAGTTGCTGTCATTGGGGCGAGCCTCTGGTGGTTACTGAAAGTTCTTTGTTCCTGCACGTCGCAGGCCTGCTGAGTGCTTACACCTGTTGCCGGCGCTGGCCCCACTCATACCTACTGTCGGCACTAAAGCTTCAGCTCCTACCTGCTGCCGGTGCTGACCCCACTTGCACCTGCTGCTGGAGCCAGCCCCAATTGCTCTGTGCTATCAGCACATGCGAGTGGGGCTGGCACTGTCAGCACATGGGAGAGGTGGTGGCGGGAGCGTGGCTGCCAGCAGACAGGGGACTGGAGGCCACAGTGGGAGGGACTGGATGGAAGCATGGTGGATGGGCCAAGACCCAACCCAGTGCCCACTGCAGCCTCACAGCCCACAGTTCCTTTCACAGTGCATGAATTCATGTACTGGACCCCTAGTCCTATCTAACAATAGCCAAACA